GGGGAATTGTACGTAAATAAATATATCTGCAGCAGCAATGAAAAACAAATGTGTGTGTGTGTGTAGTGCTGTAAAAAGTGATGCAGGCATTAAGATGGAGTCAGATTAGATTTGGGTTAGTGTGCAAACCCAAGCAGCGGGATAATCCCGTCACTGTTCAAGATGACCTTCAGTCACACAGACGAGACTTTCAAAGCTGCAGCCTTCGTCTCTCTGAGCCATCCATCAGTTCAGCTGCACACCCCATCTGATATTATCTTACATGCTACTGTCTGCTTTTAAGATTAGACTTAGTATTTGTGTTTTCAATGAAGGGTTGGGTTACCTGAGCTTTCCGCTCAGACTGGTGAGGGAAACTGATCACATTTCCTCACTGTGCTGCTGTCTTTATTAACTCATATTTGCAATTATTTCTATCTTTGACATATATGTCTTTTTTTTTTCTAAAAAAAAAAGTTAAAAAAATTACTGAACTTCTATTCTGAAGCTGAAGACGTTTTGCTTCCTGCCCAGGAAGCTTTCTCATTTCACGATTAAATTCAGCTTGGATTGACCATGACCTGGTTGACTGACAGTCTTCACCAGCATCTATTTCTTCCTATAGAAACTGGATCAGTCAGTTTGTGTTCGTTTGTGTTCCTTTCCAGTCCTCTCAAACCTCTGCAAGTGGAGAGAAATGGCTGCCTGGGGTTTCCTACAGTTAAAAGGGTGCTTTTCCTTTCCACTCTAACCAATATGCTGCTCAGGCTGGGAGACTGTGACAAAGTGAAGATTGAACATAAACCGATGGTTTCCTTTCTTTTAATGTTTGGCATTTTATAATGTATACGAATGTTTTTGCAGTGCCTTGAAATGACCTTTGTTGTGAATTAAGGCTGTATTGTGGTGGAGTGGTTAGGGTAGTCGTCCTGTAACTGGAAAGTTGTCGGTTCGATGCCCTGTTCCGGCTGTCCCAGTCGTGTCACTGGGTAAGGCATTTCACCAGACTTGCCTACTGATGGTGGTCAGAGAGCAGCCCCACCTCTGTYAGTGTGCCCCAGGGCAGCTGTGGCTACAATGTAGCTTACCACCATCAGTGTGTGAATCTGTGTGTGGATGTAGCGTAAAGTACTTATTTACTGTTATTTTACCAGGCAAATCCCATTGAGTTCTCAGATCTCTTTTTCAAGGGCGGCCTGGGCCTGAAGGCAACCTATTGTACATGTTTTTGTGTTGTGGGGGAAACCGGAGTACCCGGAGAAAACCCACGCAAGCACGAGGAGAACATGCAAACTCCGCACAGAAAGACCCCAGGTCCGAACCGGGGATCGAACCCAGGACCTTCTTGCTGTGAGGCGTCATCCAGCATTGCTTCTGTTGAACTGTTTCAGTATTTAGACTTAATGAAGAACAATTAATTGACTGAAGCAACTGATTTCAGATTAAAACAGTGGTGGCTCCTGGGAGCAGCACAGAGTATTACAAACAAATGCCATCCCAGTTTCACTCTATAGTTAAGGACATGTTTGTACATTTTCTGCTACAATTGACAAATTGCGCAATATGTGCAGTAAGGAGGACATAATCAGTCTGTCGTAGTTAGTTTAGTCATAGTAAAAAAAGAGTTTAATCAACCCCCCCCCACACACACACACACACACACACACAAACACACACACAAGTTTGCACAGCTATACATTTGGGGACATTCCATTGACTTCCATTACATTTCTACAGCCTAACCCTGACCACAAACCCTAAGGCTAACCTCACAGGTACCAACCTGACCCTAAAACTAACCTCACAGGTACCAACCTGACCCTAAAACTAACCTAAACTCAATTCACACCTTGGTCCTAAACACAACCCCCAACCCACCAATGGCCTTTAAACCAAACGGGAACTCGACTTAGGTCCCAAAATGCACCAGTTATCCAGAACTTGCTGGAAGGATAATAAATCCTTTTTGGTCTTGGATCCTTCAGGAGGAGCTGAACAATGATTCTCTACTGAAATATTTGCCTCTGCAACCAGAGCACAATTAGAAGATGTTTGGATAGATAGAGAGATGGATTATGAACAACGCTGAAAGTCAAGGACATCKTTAATTCACACCTAGTCTTCTTGAATTTCAAATGGTTTTACCCACAAATTGGACCAGAAAAATTCATCAGAAGAGCAGGTTTCAAAACCTCCCCTCCATCAAACTGGACATTTGCACAGTCACTGACACTGGCAAAAATATTGTATAATAAAAACATTATATTATTACAAATATAGTGTGAGACAGTCAAATATGAGTGCTGCATTAACAGTAGTTGTACTGTAAATGAGCTGTATTTTATGTTGTTTGTGAACAAAAACCAGCAGGAAGGATTGTCATATTAGCTGCTGTCACAGCTTCATATTTTAAAATTTGTCAAAAGACTTGTACTTTTCTGTTTGTGCCAAYGTCTGGCAGCCTCAGTTTTTCCAGATTTAGTTTCTTAGAAGTGAGCAACAAATAGAAGGTTAAATAAGAGGAAAAGTCAGAGGTTAACCAGGTTCGTGTTCACCTAAGAGGCTTGAACAAACCCGATGAATGAAGAAACGCTCTCAGAAGCTTTGAACAGCAGCTGTTGGATTAATACTCTGAGGCTGAAGACAGTAGTGGCAGAGCTAGACTTTTATATGATGATGGACAAAGCTTATTCAGGGAAACACAAACCAAAATATAGGAAACTATTCTGTTTCTTAAACCTAGAAAGCCTGGATCCCCCTCTTTACAAGAACTTGAAATTGGTTTAGTCAGTTAAAATTATTTTTAAATATCTTGAATTGTTCTTAGTCAGAATGTAGAGGTATCAGGACAGTCAAAATGTAGTTGTTTATAGTCAAAACTTATTTATTTAGAATGTCATTACAGGTAGTCAGACGAAAACAATTTTATGTTAAAATGGCTTGCCATACTGCTGCAGACTGAGCTTCAGGGAGGAATTTTCTTTTTAAATATATACTTTAAGTCTCCTCATTTACTCTGTAACTCTAATTGTGCATCTTTCAGTGCCACATATTGTGACTTGTCAATGGACTGGGGTGGAACATGGGGTGGCCAATCAGGTTCCAGAGGAGATAAGTGCCACCCCAGCTACCCTTCTGGCTCCACCCCCTGAGTGCAGTAGTAGCAGAGAATACTACATCCACACAAAAACTGAACAACATGCCACAGCATCAGCTACAAGAAGCTAAGTTTTTTCAGAATAACATTTTATAATGAAATGCTGACAATAACGCATTCTCACTCCCGACATGTCAACATATTGACGATTGGTCAGGTAGCCGTCTGCGTCCAGCTTCGGACATGTCGGGTACCCCCCGTGTGTCCGTTCTTTACGAGATGAGGCGGAGGAGGACGAGCGCATTGTCATTTTTTTTTTACAAGAGTAGGAAATGCGCAAAACTAACCATCCCAGACCCAAAATTTAACTTCAGTTAGCTCTATACAGCCTATCCCTGACCTCAATACCTAAACCTAACCATTAACCCTGATCCCTCATATTGACCATTTTTGAAAATGTAGAGAATGCTCGAGAACTAACCGTCCCAGACCCTAAATTTAACCTATGTTAGCCCTATACAGCCTATCCCTAACCCCAGTACCTAAACCTAACCATTAACCCTGATCCCTCATATTAACCTCAGACCCCCAACACAAAGACTACTAAGTGACGCAACCCAGAAAAGCCGTGGGCGGCAAGGACTGACGCGATGGGGGTACCCGACG